GACCCTTTGGTATACGAGGGAGTCTTTGATTTGCGGACTTGGAACCTAACTGAGACGACCACTCTATTCATACATGGAGTCGGGGCTCTTGACCACGCAAGGACCTTCCCAGAATGGGTGATAATATAATGCAGAAAGTAGAATCTGAAAGGGAAACCCATCCAGGGTTTCGAAAGGCTTCCAGGAGCGATAGCAATAGCAGAATGCGCCATCACCTACAGCCCTTTCCTCTGCCGGGGACTTCCACGAAATGTAATTAGGGCTTCGAATTATTTCAAATTAGGGCTAAATTTATTTGTGAATTTGTGAAATTATTTGTGAATTAGGGCTTTGAATTATTTGAGATATGTTGAATTTGTGAATTTATTTGTGATTTGTGAATTTATTTGTGTTTTTGTGAATTTATTGTGTATATGATTTGTCAATTTGGATATTTTTTTTTTAGAAAATGGCATCATCGTCCTCGTCACAACCTCAGCGGTTAAATGTACACCTCAATCCGTGTGATCCCTCCCTTCAATATCTTCAGTACCGCCACCGGTAGAGTGCGGTATATCAAGATTTACAGGGATGTCGTAACGGCACCATTAGAAACCACCGTAACGACACTGAATTTTGGAAGGTGTTGGACAAACAACATCCTACAGTTTGGGAGGTGATCGAGAACACGGGTTTTGGGCCGCTGTTTCGAATGGGCAGAGTCCAGACCGACAACAGCCTCATTACCTGTCTGGTGGAAAGGTATCGACCGGAGAAGCAAACATTCCATTTTGATTTCAGGGAGGCCACGATCACGCTCCAGGACGTACAAGTCCTATTTGGTCTCCCGGTAGATGGAACTCCTTGCTGGGAAAAGACTGTAGATTTTACAAACCAACAGTGGCGAGATGAGTGTTTGCACCTTCTAGGGTTTGACCCCCAGGTAAATTTTTTTTCCTACATTTTTTTTTTTTTATGCTCCATTGTTTCGTTTTTAATTTATATAAATCACTCTCAGGAAGCAGACGACCCGACGACTAACCCCAAAACTTGGGGCATTACAGGCTAGTAATTGAAGCACTCGAGGTTAGAAAACGAATGCAACAGAGTGCTGCAAGATGGAGAACACATCATGACCTACGAACAGAGGGCGAGGGCCCTTTTCCTCTGGTGCCTTGGATCGTTCTTCTTTCCCGACCAGAGGGCTAGTGAAGTCAACCTGTACTGGTTGCAGAATTTGCGTGACATCGATAAGATCATGGGGTACAACTGGGGGTCGGCGTTCCTGGCCGCAGTGTATAGAGCGTTGTGCACAAGCTACCAGACCGGGGAAGGCTGGATCAAGAGCTGTGTCCAATTGATTCAGGTACATTTATTTACTTGTTATTTCAAAATTCATTTTTTTTATTCTAATTTAGACTAATATCTAATAACAAATGAATATGTCGATATGTGTAGGTTTGGGCATGGGAACGTATCCCTCGGCTTCGCCCAAAAATGAGGGATACGAACTTTGACAGAGTCCCTGGTTGTCCCTTAGGTGGAAGGTAATCACATTTATTTATATATTTAATAGTTATATTATTTCAATTATCGACTTTTGTGATTACAAAGTATTTTATTTTTATATTCTATGATTTTTAAGGTGGGTGGGACGGAAGGACACGAAACACTTAGTCACTGGAACAACCGCTGTCCGGGATCAATTGACAGGGCTGAGAGAGACAGATGTAAGATTATTATTAAGTACTATTGATTATTATTTATATTTTTTTTATCTTTTTTTTTTTTACTTTTTTTACAGTTCGATTGGGTGCCGTATGACCAACACCTGGATGCTAATACTCTCCCGGCCCAGTGTACAGAAGGTTCACGCTTCTGGATGTATAGAGGGTAGATCTTCTGTTGGAACATCCGTGAAGTCCACCAGCCTGATAGGGTCCTCCGTCAGTTTGGGTATTATTAGTCCATCCCCGACACTCCGATCATTACGGGTGAGGCCGACTGGGAGTCACACTACCGGGGCCAGGGAATGACTGGGAGGGCATTTACTGATTGGGTCGACTTTCATTCCGAGCTTAGAAATGTTTGGGTAGAACAAAGACACCAAAATGTCCTCCCAGATTACTCTGTGGAGTCATTCGTACAGTCTGACGAGGGTTACCTTGATTGGTTTCACAGTAGGACTGTGAGACTAATCAGTGACCCTGCCAAGTACTCGGTGGTTCAACAGGACGGAGGTTATCAGCCACTTGCCGAGCATGGGAAGTGCGATGTAAGTCTTCATAATTTGTTTTTCTTTTTTTTTTCTTTCTATTATTATTAATTTTTTTTTTTTTTTTGTTTCATACTAATTACTTTGAATTTAATTTTCAGGCTAGCGCCATGGAGGGGGCTTATAACACGTTATCCAATGTTGACCACCTATTTCATACAGTCCCTCCAGAGATTCAGGCAGCAATCCAACATGCCAAGAGCCTTCTCTTCACTTCTCTGACTGTCGGAGGCGGAGAGGTCGCACAAGGGACGTCGTCGAGCCAAGTTCTATCGCAGGAGAGCTAAGTCCGACCCCAGAGGACGCAGTCACACCGGGCGAGGCATCAACCTGCTGCCCACATTGGTGGAAGTAGAAGACGACATCACCGCGAACCTGCTGCCGACACCGGGCCTGAGGAAGAAGAAGAAGAAGGTGAAAATTTTTTACTTAACAAAAAATAATTCTATTTATATTTTGTGATTTTTGTCAAGTCGAATTTCTGATTTCTTAAAAAAATGAATTACTCAGGTGAAGAAGAAGAAGAAGAAGAACCTGCCACGCCCACATCATCGTCTTCTTCACGACCAGCACGGCGTCAAATTAGCTCCCGACCGCGCAACCCTACGAATCCATACACTCCTAGTTAGTTTGATTTGTATTCGGGGAATTTTGTGGACATATTTTTTTATTTCTTTTTCTTGGGTGGATTATGTGTAATGATATTTGGACATATTTGTATTTTGAATAAATTATTGTGGTTGATTTTTTCTTTCTTTGACGAATGGGTTGATATGAGCTTGTGGAATTAATATTTGGTTGTGGAATCGATCTCGATTAACAGGTGTATTTTTTTATTTTTTCTACACAGTAAAACGTATTCCGAAAATACGTTTTTTTTTAAACGAAAACCGTATTTCAAGAATACGTTTTACTGTGCAAAATTAGGGCAAAATCGATTTGGGGTAAAATTAGGGCAAAAACGTATTTTCAAAATACGTTTTATGTTTTGAAATATTATTTTCTTGAAAAAAATTATTTTTAAGAATTATAAAATTAATTTTATTATAAAACGTATTTCAGGAATCTGTTTAATAATTAAAACATAAATGTAAAATTAATTATAATTATAAAACGTATTTCAATAATACGTCTTTTTTTTTTTACTTTAAAACGTATTTCAGTTATACGTTTTCCTATATTTTAATTAACTNCTTATAACAAAGTATTCAAGTGCTTCCAATTTTACTTGTGTTGATGGACATTACTAGAGGAGAAAGATAATTACACACACACATATATATATTGTTTAAAATAACGAGAATTTGGAGGTTTTCCTAATATTTAAATGCAGATAGTTCTTATTCTAGTTCTTTATGATATAGTTTTCCTGTTGGAGTTTTTAGGTGCAATATGAACCTATTTTTTTTATTTTAAGATTATGACCGATTTTGTGAATGTGGGATAACATTTCAAATGTACATTCTAAAGTAAAGTTACTATACAGCAATTAGATAATATATAGTAAATTGTATTGGAAAATAATGGATATAATGTTTGAGCAAAGAGTTGTGTTGGCAGATGCAGATTGTATATAAGTTGATTTTTAAACAATGTTTGATTGATTTTATTGATAACAGATAACTGATTAATTGTATAAATGAATAGTTATAACAGTGAAGAATATAATTTCGATTTATTTGTATTAATAATAATATGATTTGTCTATTAAATAATAAAAATTAAAAATAATATTAAAAAAAAAGAGTAGAATTGATCAATTTAAAATCAAATTTAACATTCAATGACCATAAATCACATTTAGTAAATCTAATTTAGTTAACTTTGGGGTCCTAAAAGATGACTAAAACAACTGTTTACCAAACAACCAAATTAAAAATATTGACAGAGTAAACCTCTATTGTTTTCTGTGTTTTCTTAAACTTCTAACTGAACCATAAAACTTTAATTGTCAAACATGATCATAAAGCTAATTAGTATGTGGTAATTAACTTGAAATGCACTTTTGAGTTACTTATTCAATGGAGAAGCATTATGCTATGGTGTAGTTCTACAAATTAAACCATTAGACGTCATATTTTTTTAATTGTTATGTAGATTTTTTTAATTAATTAATATATCGTACTTTAAAAATTAATTAACAGTATGCATTTTGGATAAAGAAAAAAACAAGTATAATAGATTGATTAACTTATGAGTTAGGACGCCTAAGAGCAACAATTGTGATTTAGAAATACATTTTAGAGAAGCAATATTAGAGAATTTTCGAGGTCCATCTATTAGAAATAAAATATCCCATAAATGAATATTTATGGAAGTGACTCCAAACAACCACACTTTTTTTTTTCTCTCCCTTTATTTGCATTTCTGAAGTACGAAGTAGGAGATCTTGAGGGTGTTCTAGTAATATTATGTGTTGTGAGGTAATTATAATTTCCTCAATTGATGTTCTAAGATTATGACCAATTTTAACTCTTAGAATGGCTAATTCTATGGCTCTTCAATAATTTTGGGAAACTAATTATGATAGGCTATAATTTCCAGTCTTATTCTGACAATGTGACAAATTTTTAATACACATTTACATACAAACTAATCGGCCACTTAAAAGGAGGGCCTCCACAAGCATCAAATTAAATTGACTTTCCTAGAATGGACCATTAACTAAGTATGGATCCTAAAAAATTAGTGATCACCAGTATACATTAAACCTATATCATCTGTACATATGTAAAATGTGTTAGTTTTTTTTTTTTTTAGAATAATGAATTTTCTATCAAACCAAAATCTGAGACTTGGCAAGCCTGCGTGAGCACTTTTTACGGGTGGAGTTGCTCAAAGCACAAACACATATTTCAAGAAGATCATAGTCTTCTTCCCAATACAAAACAGAAGCCTTTTCCGGGTTTTCTAAGAGCATCCTTGAAGTCAGAAATCCAGCAATCGACCATGTCTGGTAGAGACGGGCCTGCTTTCCTATAAACTTGCCATTACGCGTGTCATAATATTCGGGCCATTTATCGGCAGGAAGTCTTTTTTGGGACAAATTGATTGCCTTCTCGGCTAAATCAGTACGGCCCATTTTCATGCACGCCAACGTGAACTGCAGGAGTAAAAGAACAAAGAAGAAAATTAATTACATACAAACCCCAATTTTCAAATTTGAAATGCCATTTGGTTTTCATGTAGAAATAGCACCCTCAATAAATGCTCATACAAAAATGTAGTTTTTTGTAATATTCAGGCCTAAAAAAGATGTCCATTCAACCTTAGAGGAGATTGTAGTGATTACAAAAGAAAGATGGTTACTTTAGTCAGACTAAAACCTCATGCAGTTTTGTCGAATTACTCTAATCCTGAAAAGTAAACATTTTCGACAATAAAACTCTCCAATCACCCCTGCTGCATTCTTAGGGAGTTCGAAATTTTCTGAGAAAGGACCAACTCTTGCGAAAAGCCATCGTCCAAATTATCACGAATGAACAAAATAAAAAACAGACAGAAAAAAAAAAAACCAAAAAAAAAAACACAAAAAAAAACCTAACATTTGGTCTAATTACGAAAACATCCAGAAATCTACAAACCAAAAACAACTCACGATTTTTACCTGCCACAAAAGCGTCGGCCACGACCCACCATTATGATACGACCAAGGTCTGCAGCCAAAAATCATCAAACAAAATTTAATCTCAGTTAGAGATAACCTGAAGTACAGTTGTTATCTCTATGCACTAACAATAAATAAAACTGCAATTCCACACGAAACCCACAAAACTGACAAAAGCCGAACATAAAAAAAAAACTCACGTATTCTTTGGATCGGATCCCGTGATTATTCGCCACTCTTCCCCCACCAAAGCCGGGTAGCAAATTTTAAGAGGCATCTGACCAATAAGATCGTCCCACTTGGCCTCAATCAAGTTCAATATAGCTTCATTTTGCTTTGGGGTCCCCAAAGATGATACTATTGACCATAGGTTCCCAAGAGTGAAGAACCTAAAATCCATATGAGCTGGCTGCAAATTCCCAATGAGATAGCCTCCTTCCTCAGGAATCCAATGCATAAGCCAGTCAGGAATTTGTTCGGGGTAGATATTGAACTTGTTAGTGGCTTCAGTTGAATATTCCTCAGTCTTATAACGGTAGATTTCATTGATCTTTTTGAGGTCAACCCAATAGTATTCTCGTATGTGAAAGGACAATGCACTAAGCCTGTTGTTGATGGCCCTCACTAAATTCTTGGATCCGTCATCGACTGTAAGCATCTCACGTGAGCATCTAAGGGCCGAGTAGAATAAGGACTGTAAAGATAAAGAAAAAATAAAGTCACTCGCAATCTTAGTTTGCATTTTGGATCTGTTTCATTTATTTGTTCATAAGGTAGGTACATAAACTTCTTTGACGAGCAAGATACTCAAATCTTGTTTCACCATCTAATACGAGAACATGAGAAACTAGCTGATAAACAAATTTCTGTTGACTGAAAATTTGTGTTGACTGAAATCACTAATATTTTTCACATGGGAAACTAGCTGATAAACAAAGTTCTATTGACTGAAAATCTCACCAGAAAATGAAGCTGAAAAGCCAAAAAACATAGTTTTTCAAGAAAAATACCTGAATCTCAAGTGGATGACCATGAATGCCCATACGCCGATCTATCATGCATGACCCATCTGTGACGAGTAGAGAGGGAAACATGTCAAACCCATCAGACAAACAGAGGTTAAGTATCAGTTTCATTCCTGTCTGGACATCGACCCTTTCTTGCAATGAGTAATCGCCCGTGAGTTTCCCATAAGCTCGCAACAAGATAATCCACCAAAGTCCTATGCATTAAATCAAGATTATCACAAACTAATTTGTGAAAGTTGAGGTGAAAATTCGGCTTTGGCTGACTAAATTTTTATTGTGGAGAGAAAAAAAAAAAAAGG